CTGTTGAATCGTAGCAGAAATGAAATGATTGAGTGAGATTTAGCCTAGCTCAAAATAATTTCATTAATCCTGTAATTAGTGTTATGAACACTGCGTTATGAGTTTTCAGGACACATTTTAGGTTTCGTGTGTGGCTACTTTTGCTTTCTATAGTCTACATTAAATGTGTGATTAATGCAATAATTAGCCGAGCTTTTTTCTTTTTTTCCGTTTGTATTATAAATATTCTAGTATTTTCAATTTCAGCTTTTTATTTATGCATTATTCATTAATTTAGGTTATTTATTTGTTTGCGGGTCAGCTGTATTGTTGACGAGAACTATTTTTATCTTTCCGAACTGGTTTAACAATTAAGTTTTTCTTAGTTCTCATTACGGCTGAAAAACAATAGTTACTTTAATAACTTAATTATTACAGGATGAACATGAGTTTGCTTCGCATATCCGCAAGCTCATGACGCAGATGTTAAATGACAATGTTGCGTGCAGCTTTTATTTTAATATAACTCTGTAACATTATAAACTAATATAATGCTTTGACAGTTTATGTTAGCGCTATGAAATCAATGCATTCAGATATGAATTAAGAAAACATTAATAATAAATTAATAATGTTTTAATAAAAGGATTTCTTTGTGTTTTTAACTAGTAGCTCGAACCACGGGTAGTTGAGTAACTCGAGTAGTTTTGAAAAGAAATCGATTAGCAGAAACCAGTAGTCGTGCACACACACACACACACACACACACACACACACACACACTTTCAGACTGTCATTGTTGAGTGTTGTTATACAGCTCTGTGAACCTGACCGTGTGTTCCCCTTGCCTTGTCTTGTTGTTTTTGACCCTCGCCTTGTTTGTTTGTTTGTTCATGTTGCCTGCCTGCCTGATCATCTGCCTGTTATTTGACTGTGGCTCTGCATCTCCTCTGTGCATCTGTTTGCCCGTGTGTTGACCATTACCTGACCACCCTGCTAATAAACCCTGCGTTTGGATCCGCACTCCCTGCTGTCAGCGTCACTTCACATTACACTCATTGTGTAATAATTGTTCCCTACATGTACACAGCTCTTTTCTGGACACTCAAGCGCTTTACACATTGAGGTGTGGTCTCCTCATCCAGCAGCAGTGTGCAGCATCACCTGGATGAGGTATGAGCCATATTGCACAGGACTGCACACACACACAGCAGCTGATTGGTGGAGAGGAGACAGACTGATGCAGCCAGGTATGATATGGGGATGCTGAGGAGGCCAGGGGGCAGATTTAGCCAGGGTGAAACCCCTACACTTTTTCCAAGGACATCCTGGGGTTATTAGCGAGCACAGAGAGTCGGGAGCTCAGTGTAACGTCTCATCTGAAAGACGACACTCACTGAGCAGTATAGAGTCCCCTTCACTACACTGGGGCATTAGGACAAACACAGACCGCATGTTGAGCGCCCCCTGCTGGCCTCACTAACACCCCTGCCAACAGCAGCCCAGTGTTCCCATGCGCTCTCCCATCCAGACACGGACCCGGCTCAGCCCTGCTCAGCGACCATGTGAGAGTTGCAGAGAGCGAGCTGCGGCAAACACTCTCTCTGTCCTGTTTAAGACAATCACTGCTCCACTGTCGCCTCAATTAAAGGAGGAAAATAATAACAAGAAGAAAAAAGTTGAGCACACGAGAAAACACAAAGCAGATGAGGATCAGGGTTTATCTGTTCACATTCCAGTCCTGCAGACTCAAAATATTGAGCTGGCACAATTTAAACAGTAGATACCTGTCCAGAAAACCCAACTAAACACTTAATATAGACTGATCAATCATTTGAGATCAGAGAGCTGATGTGCCCACAGCACTGATCAACACCTCTCTTTATTTCCATGTGGACAGTCACAGCCGCACTTCATCCAGTCCACATCAACATCTCCCTGTACATCCACATCCCTTTAATAACCTGTGTGTCGATCAATAGACTCAGCAGTGTGACGGAGCGCTAATGTCCAGCTCCTCTTCACAGATTCTGATCCGTCAGATTGAGGATTTGGATGATGTTCTCACCATCAGCACCGCCATCAGCAACCTGCTGTCTCTGACACAAGACGGACCACAGCTCTGCAGCATCATCGCGAAAATAGGAGAACACACACACACGCACATGCATACACACGAACACGCGCATACAATTAATAATGTTGAGGAACACAGTCTGTATTATACATGAGTAATACAGCTGCTGCGCTCTTGCGTAAATGATGGTGTGAGTGTGTGTGTGTGTGTGTTGTCCCGCTGTTCTGCTCATCAATAATCTTAAACACTGTCGTTTACTCTGTCACTTTAACACTGTCACCTTAACACTGTCATTTACTCTGTCACTTTAACACTGTCACTTTAACACTGTCGTTTACTGTGTCACTTTAGCAGTCACTTTGACACTGTCGTTTACTCTGTCACTTTAACACTGTCGTTTACTCTGTCACTTTAACACTGTCACTTTAACACTGTCGTTTACTCTGTCACTTTAACACTGTCACCTTAACACTGTCGTTTACTCTGTCACTTTAACACTGTCACTTTAACACTGTCGTTTACACTGTCACTTTAACACTTTCGTTTACTCTGTCACTTTAACACTGTCACTCTAACACTGTCGTTTACTGTCACTTTAACACAGTGTAACACACTAACACTTTTACACTTTAACAGAGTAAACACAATTTCATAAACATGACAGTAAAACACAACAGCATAAACATGACAGAATAAAACACAACAGCATAAACATGACAGAATAAAACACAACAGCATAAACATGACAGAGTAAAACACAACAGCATAAACATGACAGAGTAAATACAACAGCATAAACATGACAGAGTAAATACAAGAGCATAAACATGACAGAGTAAACAACAGCATAAACATGACAGAGTAAACTCAACAGCATAAACATGACAGAGTAAACAACAACAGCATAAAAATGACAGAGTAAACAACAGCATAAAAATGACAGTAAACAACAGCATAAACATGACAGAGTAAAAACAACAGCATAAACATGACAGAGTAAACAACAACAGCATAAAAATGACAGTAAACAACAGCATAAACATGACAGAGTAAAAACAACAGCATAAACATGACAGAGTAAAACACAACAGCATAAACATGACAGAGTAACACACAGCATAAACATGACAGAGTAAATACAACAGCATAAACATGACAGAGTAAACACAACAGCATAAACATGACAGAGTAAACACAACAGCATAAACATGACAGAGTAAACAACAACAGCATAAAAATGACAGTAAACAACAGCATAAACATGACAGAGTAAACAACAGCATAAACATGACAGAGTAAAACACAACAGCATAAACATGACAGAGTAAAACACAACAGCATAAACATGAGAGTAAA